AGAAATAGAAGATGCCATTAAAATTTGATTAAAGCATGCACCAAAAAGATTAAAAACAAAATAGTAATGTATCTTTTTTATACTCAGTATTAGTAGAATGTAATATTGTATTAACTCTAAACAATATTTAAGTTTGATTTTCTGCTAAATACACTTTTTTTTGTTAGACAATGTCAAGTGAAAGGAACTATAAAAAAGTCGTTAGTGAGCGTCAGTCATTTAGACATGTTGCAAAGGAAGTTCGACAAATATTTAATGGAATAAATTCCTCACAGGTTGTGCCTTCACCTCAACAACAGAGCATTAATACTGTAGAATCCAGTAATTCAAATTTTGAAGTAACTGAGGATATTTTGAGAAATGTGAGACATTTGGAGAAAGATTTTGGCAATAGCAATAATATTGAACCAGATCTGAGAACCAGCAATCAAATCTGTAGTGTGCAAATTGGAAGAGAACTTAAAGAAAATTCAGACGTAATAGATGATAATTCCATAAATGAAAATAATGAACTAAGTTTAAAAGATGAATTACAATGTTGGGCTACAAATTTCAAAATCTCTCAGACAGCCCTTAAAGATCTTCTCCATATTCTGTCATCCTAGCACCCCGAGCTTCCTCTTGATAGCCGTACGTTATTGCAAACTTAAAAAAAATTTGATATAGTTTTGGGTCAGGCCAGTATGTGTATTTAGGCATAAAAAATGATCTGGATAAATTCACTAGACAACATGATTATAAAAATGACACACTTATTCTGAATTTTAATATTGATCTGTATCTGTACAAAAGTTCAAATATGCAAGCATGGCCTATTTTGGGATCACTGAAAGTGTATAACATGCAAACGGTATTTGCTATAGCAATTTATTGCGGTACGTCAAAGACTTCTCCTTTTTCTTTGTATTTTGAGAACTTCATTAATGAACTTAATATAATAAAAATGGCAATTTTGTAGATACAAAAAATATTTGGTAAAATTAGGAAATTTCATATGTGATGCACCGGCAAAGGCTTTCATAAAAGGCATCAAAGCACCTGGTGGTTATTCATGTTGTGACAAATGTACCGCAGAGGGAGAATATATTAATGGAAGAGTAGTATTGCGTGATACAAATGCTCGGAAAAGAACTGATCACTCATTCAGACTAAAACTTGATGATGATCACCATGTTGGCACAACACCATTAGTCAATTTAGAAATAGATATGATTCAAAATTTTCCTATTGATTACATGCACAATATTTGTCTAGGTATTACAAGGAAATTACTACTTAGCTGGTCTGGAGGAAATTTACATATTAGACTAGGTTCTAGAGTGCTAAATGAAATATCAGGCATACTAATAGGTGTTAAGGAAATTAACCGAAAACCAAGATCTTTAATGGACCTAAATCGTTTCAAAGCATCTGTGTTCAAAACCTTTTTATTATATACAGGAGTTGTTGCATTGAAAGTTACCATTAATAAAAAAATGTATTTCAATTTTTTAATATTACCTAGTGCAGTTTCACTTTTAATGTATAACACTACTCATGAGATGAGAAAAGTTAACTGTGATCTAAGTAGTAAGCTTATACATACAATTATAAAAGAATGTGAACAAAGATATGGCACAGAATTTTTAATTTATAATGTTCATATTTTACAACACGTATGTGATGATGTTTTACATAATAGTGCATTGGATAATTTTTCTGCTTTCCCTTTTGAAAATTTCCTAGGTCATATCAAAAAGTTGATAAAATCGCCAACTAATCCACTACAACAAATTTGCCGAAGAATTTGTGAAATTGAGAATAAATCAAATTTGCCAACATTATCAAATAGAAAACAATTTATGTTTAAATTAAAGCATCATAATGGTCCATGCTATCAATCTGAACTTTACAAACAGTATAAAAAGGTTTCTATGGAGACTTATGAGGTTTGTATAAATGTACATTCAGAGGCAAACTCATATTGTTTTACTGATAAGTATGTTATTGAAGTACATAATATTCTAATTAATTCAAAATGAGGCGGATTTATTTTGGGGAAAAAGTTTCTCTCGAAGAAACCATTTTATGTTTACCCTTTTGATACTGGAGATGTACTAAATATTTATTTGATTTGCAATCCATCATGCAAACTTGACATGAGGCAGTTTCGAGAAATTCGAGGAAAATGTTTTGTTCTACCTTATAAAGAAAGTAAGGTCTCGTTCCCTCTGATACATACAAATTTGGAAAACTCTTGATAAATAAGATGTAGGATGACTTGTATAGTATAAAATTACAAACCCAAAATGTGCACACATTGGGGTCATTAGGCACAGTTAATTTTGAAAAATAACTACCCTCAATATTTTGTCAGAACGTGGAGTTTGCATTATTGAACGGTTCGTTGAGTGACTGCTGCTTTGGATAAGTTTCGTAAAAATGTCGGCTTTGTTAAGAGTTTTCTTTGTGCATCACCATATGGGAGGTAGATTCTTTCTAAGGACTCAAGAATAGATTCACTAACAAGGAAGCCAACATGCAATATGTATTAAAACATCTGAAAAAGTTGTATTCTCTATTTTATTTATATGTGTATATGAGTTAATATATAATCTTATTTACCAGTATTCATTTATTTTTAAATCTCACATCAAATAATGAGCAGATATGATGGTTTGTATTTAAAGCAATCAGTGGACTTTGGACAAACGAACTAGCATACTTATGTTTTTAAGGAGCTGTTATGATTATTGAAGTAGTTACTTCAAATAAAATTACTATAGTATTAATCCTCCATTTTGTCTGCCCTTACAATTCAAACTACATAATATGTTTAAATTCTGAATACTGTAATGTAAATATTTTTTTACACCACAGTGGTCTACTACAATACAACAACAATTAAAGGGTAGAGTAAATGAAGGTGGTAAGTTACATTTGTTGAAAAATGAGTTCAATATGTTTGATGAAGGCTATCAGTGATGTTTTGTCTGGAAAACAGGTTGTTAACAATAACAGTTTTCCATGCAGAGTACCAGTTCTAGGCTTCGCGAAATATATTTTCGATCCAAATGTTAGTTACCATCTTTATCCAGTTAACCCTTCAATTATGTGACAATTATTTTGTACGTCTTTAGATATGAAAGATATACAGGATAATAATCAACGTTTAAAACACGTGAATTCAGCATAATAAATCATGTCGATTACATGTGTGTAAATCACGTGAAATCGTCGTCAGAAAGTGACGTCGATTCTATCTGACACTTCGCCCACAAATTAACGGACTTTCCACGTCGAAAAGGGGCATGAAAACCACGTGTGTAGATCATGTGAAATCGTCGTCAGAATATAACGTCGATTCTATCTGGCACGTCGCCCACAAATTAAACGGGCTTTCCACGTCGAAAAGGGGCGTGAAAACCAAGTGTATAAATCACGTGAAATCGTCGTCAGAAAGTGACGTCGGTTCTATCTGACATTTCGCCCACAAATTCAACGGACTTTTCACGTCGAAAAGGGCCGTGAATACTACGTGAAGAGGTACGTTCTTGTCACGTGAAATACACGTGTCCTTGTTGGCTGGGAAGCTGGCCAATGGGATCCTGGTAGTTGAGTCCTACCAGTCAGTGGGGCAACACGCCACTTTGGCCTGGAGGTCAGTGTAGAAGGGCGGCCGCGCCTAGCCCAGCATTGGTCAATCGGCTGTGCCATCCCATCAGAGAGCTGGCTGGGCGAGTCCCCACAGTTAGTAGAAGCCAGACGGGTTATAGCTCGCTACCCTAGACGTATGGTGGAGCTATCTGTGGGGACTATATCTCTTTTTTGTTTTTAACATTTACGGTTATAGGGTTTTGTTCTAGCGAAAGACGATGACATAAACTGTTGAAGATATTTACAGTAGAAGTTGGATATCAGGCAAGTGTAACTTGTGAAGTATTGTCTCAAACTGTTAAAGGTAACGGGAGCTAAAGAAACACGTCTTGTCATTACAACTATATTTAAGTGTCTGCACAGAACAGTACCAAATAGATACAACACCAGCTGTCGGCCGTCTCATATGACACACTTCGTCTGAGATATATCTGGTGTTAGTTGGCGCCAAATACGACGTTTTAGAATGTTTGACGTTCATAATTGAGGTTAGGTATCTTTGATGTTTGTAAATAATTTCCCAGTCTCTATTTTGTGGAGGAAACTACAACCACAAATCAACAACGTCTAATACATCACAAAACATATACACTGATTATTATCTGATTATTCGCTCTTTGACAGGTATGGTACGTTACCTTCTTGAAATCGTGCTTACGATCAACAACTTAGCTCATGTCAGAAGCTAACTTTAACTAAAGTCAGAAAATCGACAGTTCGTAGGCAACTATTATTCACTAAACTAGCAGTTACCACTAGATTGTCATTAGGGTTATAAATCTTGCAACCATGTTCTTCAAAACATATCTTGTTTCCATTGTTTATAAGCTTACAAACATAGGTTTTGTTGTCAGACCTGGTACACACTGCACTTTTGTAAAAAAGACTTGATGTTCTGTGTCTGCAAATTTCGCTTTTATTTCAATGTCACCAGCACATTCCTCAGCTAATTTCGATTTGTTTGCTACGACAATCTCTGGTAAATTCGGACTGGGCACATTTTAAGCCATTCCTTTCTAGCTGTTAAATGAATACTTGCACCACTGTCGATGTACCAGTCTGCTTTGCTGAACTGTCCTGTAGTAAACACTGCACTGAAACCTCCTGCAGATCTGCCGTTAGGACACTTCGACCTAAAATGTCCAGTCTTTTTGAATTTGAAGCAAACAATATTGCTCATATTTTGTTTTTGTTTACGTCTGCTACAGACTTGACATTTGCGTTCACTGAAGTTGACTGAACGTTGACATGACAGCCATCAAATCTCTTATTACCACCTCCTCTGGAAGATCCTCAGCAGCTTGACTTTTTCGCCATGAAAGCACCTATACGGCGATCTGTCTGCATATCTAGCAATTTCTTCTTTATCGAATCTGTTGTAATCTGGCTACCGCCATTATCATGGGCGCGAATTTCTCCGGGAGTCCAGCCAAAAGAAGAGATCCAATCCACTCTTCATCTATCTTTAAACCTGCCCTCCTTGATTTCTTGGACGTCTCGACAATCTGATTTGTGTAGGTTTCCACAGAATCATGGTTTTCTAGTCTGGCGAAGATTGACGTTCGCAGGAGCCCAATTTTCCTCATAAAGCCACTGTCGTCATACAGATTTTTCAACTTCGACCAAACTTCTTGCGCCGTTTTCGCATCTTTCACATGCGGAAATAAGGATGGGTCAATGGTTAAAATCAATTTGGCTTTGGCTTTCATAACCAACGTGGTGTCCTGTTCTCTGCCGTCGATGCATTTGCTCAATCCTTCAAGCACTAACACATTTTTCACGGCGTACCACCACTCATCATAGTTCTCGCAACCAACAAGCTTCGGCACGCTCGTTAGGTAATTGACCGCCATCTTGGTCACTCGTAACGACTCGACACAACTGTGATTTTTACTGAGAACCGAACCGGTAACTTGAAATGCAGTAACAACTTTACCCTAAGTTAAAACCTGCTAACATAACTTGTTGAACTGGGTACCTATTGAAGATTTTTACCGTAGAAGTTGGATATCAGAAAAGTGTAACTTGTGAAATATTGTCTCAAACTGTTAACGGTAACGGGAGCTAAAGAAACACGTGTTGTCATTACAACTATATTTAAGCAACTGCATAGAACATAGAACAGTACATCAGTACCAAATAGATACAACACCGACTGTCGACCGTCTCATATGACACATTAGAGATGTCGCCACCCATATCTAAATAACCGTGAATTCATTATATCTACAACAGAAACAACCTCCCAATGACGCCCCGTAGAAGGTGCGGGGCCGGGGAAGCGAATACTTATTTTGAGCATATGGGAACTACACAACATTAGACAGGTGTGCTCGCTTCCTCAAACGTGGCCGCTTGTCACGTGCTAAGATCATGTAACCTTCCTTTTTACTGTTTTGATCACTTACGAGTAATTTGAATTTCTCTTTATTAATAGTAGAGTGCCCATTCCTACACCAAACCCTTTTTAATGATTTTTTTTTTCAAATTTCATAGTTTATTGATTGTAGAATTTCGCACGTATTATATCTGTCATTCTCAGCGACTCAATATTGTATTGAATCTTCTATCTGAGAAATTTCCTCATAAATATTGTTGGTCTTTCGTAGACAGATTTGTTTCTGCCCGGTGGCAACCAGCGCGCCACCTTGTGACTTTACACGTACTAGCGGTATCGGGACATTTGGTTCTATCAAGATACCTTCTTCAAAGCCATTGATTTAACCTTCTTTTAATGTTTACTTTCCTATCAAGATACCTTCTGTTAAAATTTGATTTACTATCAAGTTACCTTCTTTTGAAATGTGATTTACTATCAAGATACCTTCTTTTAATTGCGTACCGACGCGTCCAGCGCCATTTTACTTTCCGCTGTTATTTTGGTTGTGTGTCGGGCATTTTTTCATTAACTTCCAGATTCTGGGATATTAGGCACCCCAAGCACCAGTTTTTGGAGTAGTACCCCTTTATCTTGTACCTTACGTTTAGTTGTGTTGGTTAGGGGTACTACCCCGTCCATTTCTCAGTTCTCTTTTGTATACCATCGGACTATGTGCATTAATGCTTGTCCTGAAGAAGTTTGTTCAATATCTGATTCCTTTTAGTGGAAAGCCATTGTGGAGAACCACCATTCACACTTCTCCAGCTTTGTTTTGTAGCTGCCTTGTAGCTGTTTCGCAGCCGATTTTGTTGGAAGCCATCGCTTCCCTTTTATAAAAACCCTGATAGACAGGTAACATATCATTTTAATTGGGTATTTTATAGATATTGATATATTGATTGTTGCTGACTGAAATTCTTAGTGTGTTCTTGAGTTTGTTTGGCATTTTACGAATTCAAATATAGGGTACTGCCTACATGTCACTGTCTTTTGGGCTTATTACATTACATTAATCATGATCTTGAACTTTGAGCTGCCATAACTTAGTTTAGAACAAGGGATAACTTTCTGAGGGTATATCACTTTGGTAAATTTTTATCTTTTCTTGCCCTTGCAGAAAGAAAAGTAGTTTTCTTGTAAAAGAGAATGTACTTGGATTTTTCTTCAAGTTTGAATCTTTTAAATGAGTAGTGCTGTCTCAGACATAGAGTAGAGAGTAGATTTTTTAACAGTCTTTTTCTCTCTCTAGGGTTTTTTTATACCATAAATTTTGAGAACGAGGCAAGTAGCCCCTACCTTCTGAGGTTCCTTACGTCACTGCCCACTACTGGCCAGTGATTTTGGACCTGAGCGTTTGTAAGCTGTGAACATCTCAGCTGTACCTAGAGCTGTAACTGGAAGAAGACCATTATCCAGATAAGACCGTTGTCCAGATAAGTTTAGGTTTAGGCGTTAAACTATTTGTAAGACCTATATTTGTAAAGCCTTCGTACGTGTACCATGGTAAACGTTTTGCAGGATTAGTTATTACGGTCTATTAATTTTATTGTCAGGTAGTTTTTAATAACATCTTTTCTTTTAACTGGTACTCCAGTGGCGGAGCATATGTGCTGCTTGTTTTCGCAATATATTGTGATTCGATTTTAGATATCTTGTTTTATTTGGCTCTCTGTATACAGTTAATTAGGTTTCATCATTACTGTTAGATTCTTTGTGTGGTGGTCAAGCAAAACTGGTTCCGACTAACACCTCGGGGATTTGTGGCTTAATCCGTCTTGAGTCACTTGCGCTCTTAATACCCCCCCTACTCTCCGATTTGTTGAGCTAGGGCCTAAATTTGCACGCCACTGGACAACTGTTTTGCATTGGCCGACCCTTAGATTTCATTTATAGTTATTTATCAAATAATTTCCTCTTATTTATAAAAAAAGGCAGACATTTTTTTCCGGTTCTTGGTGCTGAGCATAGCAGATGGGGGAAATTTTGATAAAATGAATCCCTTTCTGATAAATAAAACATTCTTTGGATTAGTAAAAGATATAAAGAGTATCAGAAAGACAAAGTAGAGCATCCCAAGGCCAAGGAAGAAAACTGTTATGTCTAGAAAAGTTTGGTGAATTCGATGTCAAAGTTTCTCCTCACAGTACAAATTTTTCAAAAGGAGTGTGTTCTAAGCCGTTTCATCCTCAGTGTGTTGCGTTGAAGTATACTGATATTCGTATCATTTCCACGAAAGCATATGGTTTTGGATGGACCTGTCCAACATGTGAACTCTTTGAAGGAGGTGAGTCTATCATACCCCTTTTGCAAATGATTTTGGAGGCCAATAAAGCAAGTAGCATCAAGTTAGCAGATTTGGAGGATAGTGTCAAGAAAATAGATTCTAAACTTGATAATATAACCAATAAATTATCCTCGAGAAGTATTGTCACCTATGCCAATGTGGCTTCAATATCTTTTCAACAAAGCAAGCTAACTCTTCCAAGAAATGAGCAAGTAGCACCATCTACCAGTCAGGCCAAAACAATGCCTGAAAACAGATCAAACTCGGTAAACCAGTCGAAAGAAATACTTACATCTGAAACAAACACAAACAAAAAACATGACCGACAAAAAATTTTTCCATAACTGTCGAACATTGACCATTCCAACAGAAAGGTAAATAAGTAACCTTCAGTCATAGGTCAGGCAGATTGCACAGGTGACAAATTTTCTGCAGTTGAAGTTAAAAAACGGTACTGGATACACGCATCTCGGTCTCGAAATGATTTATCTGCCGAAGAGTTACCTAGACATCTCGCAGAAAAACATGATTCAGATGATATACAATGCTACAAAATCAATCCTAAACATACCAATCCTCATTTCAGTTCCTTCAAAATAGTCGTTCCTTTAGCTATGAAGGATATCTTGAACCCAAATTCTTGCAATAAGGGCATCAGCGTTTCGAAGTTCAGTTTGTTTCGAGCATCCAGAAACAGAACTGTATTTGAACTAACTACCCAATGGTGTAGCTAGCCTTAAATTAAAAGGAATACATTAAAATATGCAATGCCTATCAAATAAAATACCCCAGCTTGAGTGCATCCTAAAGCAGGAAGGTCTCCACATCCTATTCATAACTGAACATTGGTTAGAGCAGGATCATATTGTTGCAACTGGTATTCCAGGATACTGGAGGTGTGACAGTATATACAAAGTGTGGAGTGAGTGATTCGGCATTATCATTTGTGAACCAACTAAGCATTGAGCAAATTTGTGAATGCGCGGCTGTTATAATTGCATCACAAGTTAGCAAAGTCGCGTTTTTAGTATTTTATAGATCGCCGGTCGTCCGGTAAAGGATTTTCTGGATTGTTTAAATGCTATTTTATGTTCTACTTATCAAAAATATTAAAGCATTATAGTAACTGGTAACTTTAATATAGATTGGTCCTTGGATAGTTATATTAAACAGTATCTTTCAGATGTACTTGATAATTTTGAGCTTGGGTCGGTTTTGCCAAGTGAACGCACAAGAGAATTCCAAGGTGCAAGTTCAGCAATAGATTATGTCTTGACAAAAAATTCAAATTGTGGAGGACCCAAATTTTTACTTTAAGCATTCTTTCTCCATCTAAAATGGAGTATTATCGCAGATTTTTTTCAAATAGTAGATAATCTTGAAAACTTCAAACTTTTACTTTCCACCACAAATCTTTCACCACTAACGTATATCATATTGATGATACAAATCAGGCTTGGCAAGGTTTTGCGGAGAATTTCCAGTATTGCTTAGAAAAAACTTGCCCGTTAACAAAATTTATAATAAACACCTACGAGTATAATACAAACGACTGGGTAGACTAGGATATTGTGGAGGAAAGTAGGAAATTGAAGAACTTACATTGGTTCTGCCAAAATTGTAACACCGTTGACTCCAAAAAAGCTTATAAATTAGCTAAACTACAATACAACGAAAAATTAAAACTAAAGAAACAACAATTTTATAACAAAATAGCATATGCTAGAAACTCAACAAAAAAAATTTAGAGAATAGTAAATGTACAAACAGGAAGATTAAAAATCAATAACCAAGTACCTAAAGTCAACAGTGGTAATACAATTCTGACAGATCAAAAAGAAATAGCTGATCATTTCTGTGACTATTTCTCCTCTACTGCAGATAAGTTATTCATGTCGAAATATGGTGGTACTAGTTTTGACAGTTCTAGTATCCATAAGTCAGATAAGCATATTATCTGTTGTTCTACCGATTCATAAGAAGGGTGACATCGAAGCTATCAAAAATCACCGTTCTCTAAATTTGCCATCTAGTTTTTCTAAGCTCTTTAAAAAAATCGTCTATTATCGAATGCATAATTTTGCAAATGCTTACAATATATTAAGTAGTAAGCAAAATGGATTTAGACCAGGTTGCTCCACCAATTCAGCTGCATTTTCTCTTTTCTCCTTTATATATAGTCAACTAAATAGAAATAAATGTATACCAACAATATATTTTGACCTGAGTAAGACATTTGATTGCGTACAAACAACTATATTATCAAAAAAAATAGAAGAGTATATACTAAGTGACATATAAATCCGAACACCCAGTTTAAATGGTTTTATTTTAATAAAATTTTGTATAAGTACTTAATGAAGCATAATAAGTAAATGATAAAAATTTCAAAATGATTGCACTGCTTTAAAGCCCTTTGACCTTTAATAATGTGTGGATGCACCCTGATGTGCTACGCATTCTCCAACGCGCCTAGGCATGCTTCTGATCAGGTGGTCAATGTCCTCCTGTGGTATCTCATTCCAGGCAACCACCAACTCCTCTCGAAGTGCTTCTAGAGTCTGAGGAGGACGTTGCAAATTGAGCAATCTCCTACCCATCATATCCCACACGTGCTCAATTGGGGATAAGTCGGGAGATCTTGGTGGCCATGGTAACAATGTGACATCATTATGTTGAAAGAAGTCTATTGTGACTCTTGCAACATGTGGTCGGGCATTATCTTGTTGGAAAGTTGGATCTGCCAGGGTGTCAAGATAGGGTAAAAGATGGGGTTCTAGAACTCCGTGGATATAACACTGCGCGTTCATGTTACCTCTGATGAAGATTAAAGGTGACCTGGAACCATAAGCTATAGCACCCCAAACATAACTCAAACAGTGTGATGAACATGTCTTTCAACAAAAAACACGTCGCCTTCTAACCCTGGCACGACCATCGTGCATGCCTAAACAAAATCGAGACTCGTCACCAAAGACAATACTGTTCCATTCCTGATCCCAGAGTGACCGTTGTCTGCACCACTCAAGGCTATTACGTCGGTGTTCTCGAGTTAAAGGGAGGACCCAGTGTGGCCGGTATGAAAACAAGCGAAAACTTCTCATTAGTCGGTAAACACTTCGCATGCCAATAGGTCTTCCGTGTTCTGCAAACCATTCATTTGCAATGGACCTGGTAGTGGAGAAACGGTCCCTTAAGGCCAATAATCTTAGGCGGCGATCTTCACGGTCTGTTGTTCTACGGAGGCGTCCAGTGCCTCTTGCTCTTTGCGTACGGCCTTCTCGAAGCCATGCCTGACAACACCTAACCACAGTGTCTACACTTCTTTGCACTCTAACTGCAATTGCCCGAAAAGAAAGTCCAGCTTCCCGAAGTCCCACTATACGGCCCTTATCAAACTCACTAAGTTGACTTAATCGTACAGGTCTCCGTACTCTAGGCATCGTAACCGATCGTAAAGAATGTCAAGAACCAAAATCCGCCAACGTTGATTCTTTACTGCGGCTGAAATATTCATTTTTAGACCGTTAGTGAATTAAAAAAAAGCAGTATAAAAACCGGAATGTCCAACTGATAAGGCTGAAAATTTTTTCACTTGTTATTTACAGTAAGATAAATATATTCACCAACTTTTATTAAAATAAAACCATTTAAACTGGGTGTTCGGATTTATATGTCACTTAGTATAGATTTAGGTATCCAATAAATGACTGGGTTCAGTCCTTCATGACAGATCGTAAAATTTGTGTTAAAATGGGCAATGTTACATCTCATTGTAAAAATATCAATATTGGTGTTCCTCAAGGTAGAGTGTTATCACTGTTTTTATTCCTTTTATTCATTAATGACTTGGATGAATATATTAACTTTGATATACTCTCCTTGTGTTGTTTGTAGATGACACGTCCATAAGTATAGCGGCTGACACACCGAAAGAACTTGAGTTGAAGGCCAACTCAATATTAGATCAGTTTCAGTCTTGGATAACGAATAATAAGCTAATAGTTAATGAAAGCAAAACCAAATATACAGGGTGTTTCAGTTTATTGTTGCATAACTTTAAGATTCGATAGGACTTTTAAAATTAATGCATAAAGTCTATATAAACATGGGTCGAAAAATGCGTGGCTTCCGAAATACAGGGTGTTTAAATTTACTTTTTAAAATAGTTTTTTTAAAATATTTCAAACAATATTTGATGTATAACAGTGAAAATTTGTATACAAGGGTTTTTTGGTACGACAAAACGAACCATGGGCATAGTTTTACTGTAGCCGCTAGAGGGCGCTCTCTACTGTACTGTAGTGTATTAAAATGACCGAAAAATTTTTCTTATTGGAATTTTTTGCTTTTTGAATAAAAAAACTGATTCTCCGCACTTTTCTGCATAAAAAAGCTCTCCTGTGAGTTTTCGTTATAGTTGGCCGTTTTTGAGATATTTCGATTTTTAAGGTTCGATGCATTTTTAATTATTTATGGGAAAATAATATTTTTTTTACATTTTCGATTTGGGCATTACCAGTAATTAAGATGATCGTTTAGATTGTGTTTTTAAACACAGCAATAATTCCTAACTCCCAATAAACACAAAAAAACATAATATTAATTTGTTTAATTTTCCAATATTATTTTTAACAAATTAAATTAATTATTTACAACTAAAATGCTATTGGATAGTTAGGACAAACATACAAAATCTAAAGTAGTTGCTCGAAATGTAAACCCAATTGTTCAATACACAATTCACATCTACGAATGATCGAACGTGGTATAGCATTATTCAAATAAGGCCTTATTTCATCACATGCATTCCTGATTCTGTCTATTAGCATATCTCTCGTGGTTACGGAAGTCTGGTAGACTTTTTCTTTTAGAAATCCCCACACAAAGAAATCTAATGGATTTAGGTCAGGGGATCGTGGATGCCAGGCGACTGGTCCTCCACCTTGGAGATTTCCAAAACCATTTTCAATTATTTGGCGATGCACTCTTACAAATAATGGGTGATATGCATAAAGGCGAGTGGGTTCTCAGTAGCGACTCCATATTGTAGCGAGTAACTACTCCTGTTAGGAAGGGCCTACTCGGTTTTGATATGCATAAAATATTTGTCGAGAAACGGAGAGGCTACTGAAGTGCTAATGAAATACTTGAGTAGGCACTCTGGTTTTCGAGTTCCGACTTGTATTTTGTTGTCTCGTCGAATTAGCAATTTCGCTATTGCGAGCAGTTACTATACTACTGTATACCGGTAAAGTTTGTGTCGGTGGTGTTTAGGTCGATTATTATTTGTTCATCTACATGATGTCAACCTATTCTGAAGACCATTCATCTAAAAATCAAACAGTATTTGTTAATATAATTAAACAGTATCCTGTTTTGTTGGAAAAATCTAACATCCCGGAAATCAAAAATAAACGACGTAAGGCGGCTGAAGAGATAAAAGAAAAGGTAGAAGCCGAATTAGGAGTTAAATATAATGAAGGGCAGATTTGTAAGAAGATTCAAAACATAAAAACCAGATTAAAAGCGAAGACAGACAGATATCAAACCGGAAACAAACCAATAAAATTGAAAGGATGGGAACAAGAACTGTTCAATTTTCTACCAGGAGAACCAAATCCTAGTATTGCTCGATTGCAATGTTAGTTGTATTTTTTTGTTTTTGCATACAGTAGGTATAAGATGTGATTGAGTATAATATACAGGGTGTTCCATAATTATTGCGACAAAATGATAGGGGTTGTAGAGGGCATAAAAATATGCAATTTTGCCTTATAAACCCCTGTTCGTAAATATGCCGTTTGAGCACTACAGTTAATTTTACCTTAAGAGCTCATAGGAGAAACAAAAAATTCACCAGCTGCAAAATGTTCGTCTAGCACATTTCATGGTCTCACCGGTTTGTAAAAAAAGCCTGCTGTGTTTACATTTTTGTTATCGTACACCCGTACCACCTTTTAAAAGTCCAAGCAATGGGTCCAGCAGACTATCTGCCGCGTCGACGTTTTTGTCGTTGGTGGCTGCAGCAGGAGTTGAGGCAACCAAACTTTGGTCGCTACGTTTTGTTCACTGACGAGTCCTGTTTTACAAAGGACGGTTATTTTAATAGCCATAACAGTCACATTTGGGATGAAGAAAACCCTCATGCCATAGCCATCCATAGAGACCAACATCAGTTTTCAATTAACATCTGGTGCGGCATTGTGGACGAGCATATCATCGGGCCATATCTGCTTCCACCACGTTTGGATGGGCATGCTTATGGTCGATCCTTACAGCATGTGCTACCGGAACTATTACAAAATGTGCCACTGAATATAAGAGCCAACATGTGGTTTCAACACCATGGCGGTCCAGCCCACTTTTCTTTACAAGTGCGGCAGTATTTGGACGACAAATTTCCAAATAGGTGGATAGGCCGAGGTGGCCCTGTGCCTTGGCCTGCGCGGTCACTTGACCTGACCCCACTGGATTATTTTATCTGGAGCTATCTGAAAGCTTTAGTGTACGAAACTCCTGTTCCCAACCAACAAGAGCTACTGGGAAGAGTGATGGCCGCGTCCGCACCGGGGGTATGCCACAGAGTTCGCCGATCATTGAACAATCGTGCACAGCTGTGTATTGAGCAAGGTGGAGGACACTTTGAGCAATTACTGTAGGTAAACTGTTTCAAGAAACTGATCTTTTTTTTTGCTGCAGCCCAAACGGCATATTTCCGAACAGGGGTTTATAAGGAAAAATTGTTCATTTTGATGCCCTCTACAACCCCTATCATTTTGTCGCAATAATTATGGAACACCCTGTATATACATGTCAATAAATATAAATAGCATATATTTTAAATTTTAGGTGCTGTTGTGGCAGGTTGCCCACAAAAAAGCGTTGATTACACTCCAACAGCCTGTGCTGAAGAAGAAACAATCACCGAAGAAGCATCTGGAAGTTCTGGACCAGTACTGAAAGCTACCACAATGAAAGCCATACCCAGTAAGGAGCCTTCTAAAAAAAAAGAAAAACGAGGATTAGTGGAAACTGATGAAGCACGAGATTTATCAATAACAGAGCTCCAACGTCTCGTTTTACTTGAACAAGTGTTTCGGCTAGCTAAGGAACTGCTACTTCACAAGAAAAATGTGAATGAATCTGATCCAAATTTATCAACTTTAAATGAAAGTGCAGAAAGTGGAAAGCCAATTTTCATGAGCCTATTTCTAGGACAGAACTGACAAAAGTACTTCATGTTTCATAAATGTTATTTTTTATTACTTTTAAGAACTTTCTCTTAAGTTGCCATTTTGAAAGTGTTATTAATTTTGTTATGAGTAATTAAACATCGTTCTTCAACGTATATCTACATAATTTGTAAATTTGGATTATGCTAGATACTTACTTAGACCCGACAGCCATGAATAATTCTTGATATTGCATCTCTTCTAAATTGACCTCTCTGACGTATCGCTCCATCTGCATAGTCAGCAGCATGTTGATTATGAATTTCTTCTTGTTCACATTATGCAAGATAAGACATCTCATGACAAGGGAGGGCACTTTTTCTGTATCGACGCGTATTTTGTTATGTAGAATGGGAAATCGCTGTTTTATTTGCCCGAGACATCTCTCTATTATAACTCGCTCTCTCGTAAACAGTCGATTGTATGATCTTTGTTCTGCTGTTTCTGCAATCCTCAAAGGAGTCATGAGCCAAGGAGCTATAACATACCCAGAGTCTCCCAACAAAACAGCACTAGCCCTATTCCATTTCATAACGTTGTATATATCAGACTTCTTCCATATCCGAGAGTCGTGTACAGATCCTGGCCAAGAAACATCCACACTTGTGAACTCTTCGTTTGAATTGCACGTTGCTTGTACATTTATACTACCAAAGTTCTTTCTGTTCACATATTCGTCTGCATGAATAAACGAGTTCAGAATAGGTATATGAGTGCAGTCGATAGCACCAATAGCTGAAGGAAAATTGAACTTTTCTTGCCACTCATTTTTAGCATTGTGTAGATCTTCAAATGTGGTTGGGAATCTAATCCAAATGTTCGACTTCTGCACAATACGTGTTATAACGTTCGAAACGGTTCGGGATGCCGTAGATTGATGGACGCCAATAGCTTCTCGTATGCCAATTTGAAATCCTGGATCACCCACATATCGTAAAAAAACCCACATTCTTTCTATATTACTCAAAGCACCGCCCCTATATTCTTCTCTCTCTCCAAGAAAATGGTTACTTATCCACTCAACATTAACTTTACTAAACCGATATAAGGCCCGATAGTCTACTTCACTTGATTCCCTACGATCTTTAAACACCTTCGTAGGCTGATAAATAGGCATAAATTCGGCCATTTCGTCCACTTCTTATAAAGCTGAGTCTACTACTAAGGTATCTCGCATTTCTTTAAGTATGCACTCAGCGGTCAGAGTGGGCTCACTTTTATGCATATAAAAATTGAAGTCGGCACTCAAGGAGCGAGTACAGCCTCACGGAAAGAGTAGAAACTTATGAGTGTGAGCTTCTACTAACATTTTTATGCATATCAAATGGAGTGGCTACTTTAAAAATGCGAGTCAAAAGTAGCCACTCTCCTTTACGCATATCACCCACTGAGCGAGTTGAATGTCGTCTGTTTGGAAATTTTCGTGCGTATTCTCTGGCTGCTTCTGTTGCGTTTCCATTTACAAAGCCATACACAAAATGAATATTCGCTAACTCTTGATTGGAGAATAAAAATGGCATTTTTATAAAACTTAAAAAAAAACAGGCAAAAGAAACTAAATTTCGTGCATTCACAATTGCAAAAAAACGTTTCAGGTTTCAACAGACAACAAAACTAACAGTCAACTAAGTGACGTTTAACCTTATTTTGCTTTCAATTTCAAAAATATTTGCAGGCACAGCCTTCTAAAAGTTATCGAGATACTGACTTTTTAACGTTATTTTATCATAAATAATTAAAAATGCATCGAACCTTAAAAATCGAAATATCTCAAAAACGGCTAACTATAACGAAAATTCACAAGAGAGCTTTTTTATGTTGAAAAGTGCGAAGAATCAGTTTTTTTATTCAAAAAGCAAAAAATTGCACTAAGAAAAAAATTTCGGTCATTTTAATACACTACAGGTACAGTAGAGAGCGCCCTCTAGCGGCTACAGTAAAACTATGGTTCGTTTTGTCGTACCAAAAAACCCTTGTATACCAATTTTCACTGTTATGCATCAAATATTGTTCGAAATACTTAAAAAAAACTATTTTAGAAAGTAAATTTAAACACCCTGTATTTCGGAAGCCACGCATTTTCGACCCATGTTTATATAGACTTTATGCATTAATTTTAAAAGTTCTATCGAATCTTAAAGTTATGCAACAATAAACTGAAACACCCTGTATTGTATTCTATTATAAACGTAAACTACCAACTACTATCACGTTAAAGTTAAATAATTCAGTTCTTGACAGGGTTGAACAAACAAAGTTTTTAGCGGTAATACGAGTAGTAGATGAGATACTCAGCTGCAGACATCATCTAGATTATGACATAAAAAACTCAGATCAGCTTATTTTGCGTTGCGTAACTTGAAAAACATAATGTGTACCAAGGATTTACTAAATATCTATTCTGCAACTGTATATCATTTAAAGTACCTTTTCTTCTGGGGTTGCTCTGTGGATGCTCAGCGCGCATAAATATAAGTAAATGGAACATTAAGAAAACGGATTGGTCTTTGTACCGACACATCATTCATCTCTTCAATATAAACGGCACTGCGCATGAATCAGTAATAGAGATCACTAACGGTATCATTGAGGCAGCGGAGGGTAATATCCCCAAAACAGTCAGTACAGTTTGTGGTCCCAATAGTGTACTGGTGGAGCCGTGAACTTGGTCATGCAATACAGAAGAAAGAACATGCTTCTAACCAATTCAAAAGATGCCCAACACTATCTAATCTTGTCAAGAGTAAAAAATGTTCGAAGCTCGACAACTGATCCTAATGAGTAAAAACTCCTCCTGGAGAGAATTTTATCTACTATGTATATCTAGACTACTGCTGATAGTGAGATCTGGAAAAAGATTGGATTAATATCGGGGAAACGCTTCGCTATCCCATGATCCATCTTGCTGATTAATGTTAATGAAATAACAAACAATCAATAGATCGTTAATGTTTTGGAACTTGAATTCCAAAATCACTCAAATTCTTCCAACTACTCACTTGAATTTTTTTACCAAGAAAGTAGAAGAGGAAACCACACACCTTGATTCTACTGAAGACAGGGTATGTGCATATAACTTACCTTTCACCTTGGAAGAAATGGAAAGTGCACTAAGTGGGGTCCACAACTCAGCTCCAGGGCCAGATTCTATTCACTATGAAATGATTAGAAACTTATCTGCATCAGGAAAAGTGACTAAAGCTAATCCGATAACGAAATTTGGTCTGAGGGCATATATCCCCAACAATGGCATGTTTTAAAACCAAATAAAGATCCGAAGAACCCTGACAGATATCCTATATCTTTAAGATGTTGTCCAAGCAAGCTATTCGAAAAAACTGGCAATAGATTAGTATGGATCCTAGAAGCGCGGAATTTGCTCTCTAATTATCAAATGGGCTTTCGTCGACACCGACCTACTACTGACCAGTTAATCCACTTTGAATCAGCTATTCAAACAAGTTTTGCTAACCGAAATCACATGGTGTAGTATCTTTCGACTTAGAAAATGCATATGATCGAACCTGGAGGCACGGAATTCTGAAGACCCGATATTCTTGGCAACCTATATTACCTTTCATATCAAATTTTATGAAGGACAGTCCGTTCAAAGTTCGCATTTGGAGCGAGCTCTCACATGCCTACACGCACGAAAACGGCATCCCTCAAAGATCGACTCTAAGTGGACACTTTTTATAATAGGTGTGAATCCTTTTGTAGAGTCGTTTGAACCTCATATAGGTAAATGTCTATTTGTGGACGACCCCACTATATTCTTCTCTGCAAAAGACCTAATTGACATCGAGAAAACTATACAAGAAGCAATAAATCATCTTACGACTACAGCAGAAAGCCTTGGTTTCCGATAATCTCCCGTAAAAATGGCCTGTATAGACTTTTGTACGCTGAGAACTCCGCACAATAGTCCTCGATTGTCACTAAATGGTCATCCGATACAGTATATACGTAGAGATACTCTAGATCTTCTGGGGCTAAAAGTCGACCGAAAACTTCACTGGGTCCTCAGATTGAAAAAATCCTTGTTAGGTGCAAGAAGACATGAACAATATCAAATGTATCTCTAACATCCAGTGGGGAGCCAGTCGGGAAGTCCTTCTGAAATTATATCAATCTTTGGTCCTTACGGAAATTAAATATGGTCTTAGTCCAGGGAATTATAATTCTTTGAAGAGAAACTGGATTACGCGGCCTACTTATTTGACAAAGTAATGCAGCCATCAATACTGTAGCTATGCAGCACATGCTACATACTAACTAGGCCTTGCGTGCTAACTTTATAAACAGCTTAGTGTATGTCAGTATACAATTATTTTTTATGAACTTTAAAGCTCGTCTGTGATCTTATAAAAATGTCAGCTCTACATATATATAGACAAGAGTAGGAAGAAATCTAGAAAAAATTTTTTACTGCGCAACGAAAGGTGACAGCCACATCCGCTTTGTTTTCAAATGTGTATAATAACGTATGTTTTTCGAATATCGTACCGCATCTCTTCAATCACTCACAAATACGAAATGTTTGAATTTGTTTATAAGAAAAACATGTAACCACTTGTCTTTCGCATTAAAAAAACATTCATCTTTCTAAATGGTTTGTGATTCATATCGGGGGTGTATTTTGATATAAAATGCCCTTTGAACGAACCTTGTATATTGCTCAATAACATAGTATTGAAGGCCGGAAACAGGTGTTTTGGAATAAACAATTATAAATTCTCAAAAACTACTTGACCAATCGACTCCAATTTTGTTGTGATTATTAAGAAGTATAAAGCCTACGGATATGAGGAGTTTCAAGTATCTGGTAGTGTCACCGTCGCATTACAAACAAGTGCCAGAACCTGCATTTTGACTATGTTTTCGGTCATAACTTTTTCGCTATTAGCTGGGTCTCTTTACGCGTGATCTTATTTTGTAGGTCTCGTAAATACCTAGCAATCTTATTTAGAAAGTTTTTTTGTTCGTATCAAGACTTTTAATTGAATCTCAAAAAAACGTTTTCTCATTTTTTGTTGTTGAATAAAAAAATTTCCCACTGAAATTGGTGTACCCATTCCATGCGTCCACGTTTTGAATACCCCCTTGAACAACTTGCATCAATTGTACCAAACTTTACAATTATTTCGGGAAAATTTGCTAATATGATTATACTATTATGATGACTTTGGCTTATACATATATAAACAATGACAAACAAAAATATATTGCTTGTGTATACATTCAAAACATGTACTTCTTAGGAAATAGGTGAAATAC